ACACAAACACAAACACAAGCATACAAGACAAACACAAGCGCAAGCATAAGCACAAGCATGCACGGCTAGCATAAGCACAAGCATGCACGGCAAGCATAAGAATACATGACAAGCGCATACACGACAAGCATAACCATACACCACAAGCGCAACCATACACGAAAAGCACAGCATACATGGCAAGCATAAGTACAAACACAAGCAAACATACATGCCAAGCCTAAGCACAAACACAAGCACAGGCATGCATGACAAACATAAGCACAAACAATCACAAGCATATATGACGAGGACAAGTATACATGACAAACACAAACATACACGACAAACACCAGCGCACATGACAAGCACAAACACAAACACAAGCATACAAGACAAACACAAACACAAACACAAGCACAAGCATACACGACAAACACTAACACATGCAAAAGCAAAAGCATACACAACAAGCACAAGTACACACGACAAACACAAACACAAGCATACACGACACACAAACACAAGCATACACGACACACAAACACAAACACAAGCATACAAGACAAACACAAACACAAGCATACAAGACAAACACAAACACAAGCATACAAGACAAACACTAACACATGCAAAAGCAAAAGCATACACAACAAGCACAAGCACACACGACAAACACAAACACAAGCATACACGACACACAAACACAAGCATACACGACACACAAACACAAGCATACACGACAAACACAAACACAAGTACAATCATGCACGACAAACATAAACACAAGTACAAGCATACACGCCAAACACAAGTACAAGCATACACGCCAAACACAAGCATACACGCCAAATACAAGCATACACGCCAAACACAAGCATACACGACAAGCACTAACACAACCACACACATACACGACAAGCACAGCCTATATGACAAACACAAGCATACACAACAAGCACAAGCATACGCAATAAACACTAACACAAGCGCAAGCATACACGACAAACACAAGCACAAACACACACTCGATATTTACAGGTTCGTTCGTTCGCGTGTGTCCGTGTATCTGCCGCAGCCGTTGTGCAGGATGAAGAAATATAACCTCGAATGACGGAATCCTCTAGGAGCGCACGGCTATGCGGCTCGCTGCACAGCACTGTCGGCAATACGTCCGTACGGAACACCTATGGCGGCGGCGTAGATGCACGCGTTATCTCTTGCACCTCTACTTTGCACGGAGACGGCAGTCGGACTTCGCCCCGCCCGCCACCACTCCGCCTCCACGGCACGGATAACATGTATACTCGCGAAGATCTGCTTGTTTCCGTCTAACACCGCGACAGTAGGCTGGCTGTGTACGCACGAGAGCAGCAACTATGACGAGCATGGACGTGTACCAGTCCATGTGAAAACTGCTCGTTTAACCACAAAACAGTCGGGTGAAACCAATTTAGATGCATGATCAATAACGGTTGCGAGTATGCGAGAGTACATCACAGCCGCGAGCTATTGCGTACTCGCACACGTAAAGAACACGCGCGTCCCTCACATCCTCCTATAAAACCACGGCTACGGATTTCCCCTAACACGTCCAAGCGCTCTCCGCCTTGAGCCGTATACTAACGCGAGTGTTTATTGTTCGTCGTTGTAGATAACTGTAGATAACTCTGCATGGGCGTGAAGCCGACCCTCGCTCTCCCCGCCACCAGCAGTTATCTCCTGGAAGAGTGAGTACCAAATCAATAAAACAATATGTCCCGTAACGCGACTGATACTCATATATACGTATATATATATATATATCAGCGGTTAATAATGACAAATTGTCAATTGATAAATGACAAATGTAATATTGAGAAATTTGTCATTATTAACCCCTGATATATATATATATATATATATATATATATATATATATATATATATATATATACTGGTTGCTGGTGTAATATCGATCGCGTGGGAACAGTAACCGGTTCGTCTCTAAAGTTACTTTATGTAAATCGATCCGTCTGCTCTGGCTAGACCGCGGTGCCATATCGTGAGAGAGAGAGGTGGGCAGGGGCGAGGGAGAGGTAAGAGCGGGAGAAAGGGAGAGATGGGAAAGAGAAACGGAGACAGGCGGATGGAGAGAGGGGGAAGCGAGAGAGAGCGAGGGTGGTAGAGGGATAGGGATAGAGAGAGCGGGAGAATGGAGAGAGATGGAGGATAGAAACGGAGACATACGCAGTGAAAGAGGGGCGGGGAAAGCTAGAGAGAGCGAGGGTGGTAGAGAGCGAGAGGGAGAGAGAGATCAAGTGGGAGAAGTGGAGAGATGGGGACAGACGCAGTGAGAGAGAGAGGGAAAGCGAGAGAAGGGGGTGAGAGAGAGAGAGAGAGAGAGAGAGAGAGAGATAGTATTTGTCTTCAGTGGCGCTTCTTGCGTGTCGTGCGGCATACCGCTAGAGTCTCGCCACGTTAATTATTTATTCCCCCCCCCTCAGTCTATTGGTCGTGTTTCAACAGAAGGCGCGCTTTATTAAATAATTAATTGCTCGAGGATTTCATAATTAAAGCTGCAGGGAATTTCACATGACGGTCTGCGTGACGCCTGTCATGACAAGTATAAAAGCTGAAACGAATAACAACGTTTGTTATCATAAGTATTCTGTCAGTTATAGTAAAGTCCATGACGACTGCATGGAATATTTTAACATCCCCCCTTATTTGTCTACGTGAGTGGTCACTGGTGGACAAAGAGACATCGAGAGAATGGGAGAGGAAATGAAGGGATGGAGGGCGGAATGGAAAAAGTCAGAATAAGGAATATATTCTAGCGGATAAGCACATTGATTGTGCACTTTTGGTTAGAATTATGAATCTTTGCACACGCGTACTACACGAGGGCCTGAAGAATTTCTGATATAGTGCCCAGAATGAACAGCGCCATCTGGTGGCGCACAGCACCCCCTGTCGTGTTAACTGGTATTGCGTTATAACACTCTTAGGGTTTTGGCTATAATTTCAATAATACTCGTCCAATTTATTCAAGAAATAGCTCAAACGAGTTGTAGATATCTATATCTATTCTAGAGGCAATTTATGGAGTGTAGCTAAATAAGTGTGTCTTTAAGTTGTAATAAAATAAGGTTGATACAACGAAATGGGTAAACATAATAAAAACTGATCAATATGTCAAAATTCATCGTGCAGTCTTGTTAGCATAGTGTATTTGTCAACTAAATAATGAACATTTTGACATATAGCATGCTCATGCAGACTAGATAATTTTTAACAACAGTTATGCAAGTTTTCATTATTTTTAACCATTTCCTTGTTTCAACCTTATTTTATTACAACTTAAAGATAACCACACTCAATAAATTGTTTCTATAATATTAATATAGATATCTACGAATCTTTTGAGCTATTTCTTGAATAAATTTCTTGAATAATAATCTTGAAATTATAGCCAAAACCCAAAGAGTGGTGTAACAAAATACCCGTTAACCCGCCAGGGGCCGCTGTACGCCACCAGGTGGCGCTGTTCAATTGGCTCTATCAGAGCCGTATATGGATATCTGTATATACGGCTCTGGGCACTATATCAGAAAATCTTCAGTACCTATTGTACTGTATTATTATGCGTGTGCAAAGTTTCACAATTCTAACCGAAAGTGCACAATGTGCCCATTTTTATGTGCTTGTCCGCTGGACTAATAAGGAAAAAGAGAGAGCGTGTGTGCGTGCGCGCGTGTGTGTGTGCGTGCGTGTGTGTGCGTGTATGTTTTTGCTAGCGTGTGTGTGTGCGTGCACGCGTGTGTGCGTCCGCGCGTGTGCGTGTGTGTGTTTGCTAGCGTGTGTGCGTGCATGTGTGTGTGTGTTTGCTAGCGTGTGCTAGCGAGTGTGCGTGCGTGCGCCAGCGTGTGCGTGCGTGCACCAGTGTGTGCGTTCGTGCACCAGCGTGTGCGTGCGTACGCTAGCGTGTGTGTGTGCGTGCGCTCGCATGTGTGTGTACGCGCACGTGCGTTTTTATGTGCGCGCTCTAGCGTGTGTGTGTGTGTGCTTGCGCGCGCTCCCGTGTATGGGGCGCCAAGTGTCGCATGACTGATTTCGTTACGAAATCATTGATTTCGTAACGAAATCAAGTCTGCAAAGTCATTTCGTTACGAAATCAACTACTGCGAGTCATTTCGTTACGAAATCAGCTACTGCGATTGATTTCGTGACGAAATCAAGTCTACAAAGTCATTTCGTTACGAAATCAACTACTGCGAGTCATTTCGTTACGAAATCAGCTACTGCGAGTGATTTCGTGACGAAATCAGCTACTGCGAGTTATTTCGTTACGAAATCATTGATTTCGTAACGAAATCAAGTCTACAAAGTCATTTCGTTACGAAATCAACTACTGCGAGTCATTTCGTTACGAAATCAGCTACTGCGAATGATTTCGTCACGAAATCAGCTACTGCGAGTCATTTCGTTACGAAATCAGCTACTGTGAGTTATTTCGTTACGAAATCATTGATTTCGCAGTTTTACACTAGCTAATCCTACATGATGAGCGGCGCCAAGGCAG